TGGTGCCTTAAACCCCCATCCTTAGAGTTCTGTATACCTTATTTGCATGACCTCACCCAAGTACTATGTGGGAGTGACAAAGACTTTGGATAGAAAAGTCATATCAAATAAATTTAAGGCAAAACATTTCTTGACTTTATGATACCTCTTGAAATTGTTGAATATTGACCATAACTTTTTGGTAAAATACTATTCCTTCCATCTTAATTTCATATTTCCTTCATCATTTAATGACTTGCCCATAGAATCTAGCAGTATTTCAGATCAAGGCTTGATTGTTTTTGTTTTGTTTTTTCAATTCCTTCAGTTTGAGAAAGACTGATTATGTTTTTCCCTTTTGATTTTCTAACTCCAGATCTTTGTACATTTCATTATAATACTTGCCATTGTCTCACAAGCTGTCCTTTGACATTTTCTGTTCAGTTCTTTTATCTCCTCAGTTTTCCATTCAATTTATCAGGTGTACATTGGGAAGCAAGTTTCAGAGTCTCTTATGACATCCATTTTGATCTTTCTTTTTTTCTCTCTCTATTTTTAAAGATGATTTGCTTTTTTCTTGTATGATGCTCTTGATGCCATCACACAGGTGTTCTTGTCTTCATTCATTTGTGTCTAATGTATCAAATTCGTACTTGGGATGGTCCCTAAATTCATGTGGGATATGGTCGATGTTGTATTTTGGCTCACATCAAATTTGTTCTTGTGATAATTTCTAAATTCGAGTGGAATATGTTCATCGTCATATTTTAGCTCTTGTGTACTTGTTTTATTTTTTGTTTTTGTTTTTCAGCTTGAATCTCAGCTTGCATAAGAGAAAATGATTGTCTGTTACACAGCCTGCCCTTGGCATATTATTATTATTACTTACTATCATGTATGTACTACTTATATTTTTTCCCTATGTGTTTTCTTGGGTAGTTTTTTCCCCCATGCTGACATCAGTGTGGAGACTTATCCAACTGTGTACAGTAAAATGAAATTCATCAGTGACATATTGCTGTGTTGAGAGGTTATTATGTGATGTGGTGCGTAGAAGATAGGTGATTGTGTAAAACATTTCTTTCTCTTTTTTCTTTCTTTTTTTTTAATGAGAGAACTCTTTATGTGTTACCCTATGCTTTTGATATTTCACTCAATAAAATAAAATTGATATGATGCATAACTTTTATAATGCTTCATTTCACTTATCATACCATTAGCGTCCTTTGGGAAATATCTTTCCCACATAACATTTATAAAAATCCATTGTATCTAATAAAAGTATAATGATACTCAATGATTCAGCATACATACTAATATTGAAAAAAAGAAAAACAACTTTGTATATACAAATGTAATAAACAAAAAATATTTTTGGTAATAAATGGTTATAGTTGTATCATTATCTTTCTGGGATTTATTTTGGATATTTTCTATTGCTGTGACTCCAAGTTTATTCATCTTTTCACTAGTAATACCTAATCTATCACTGATCTCATTTAATGTTATTTGCATATAAAATAATTTTAAATATTAATAATAGCATTTTATTTGGATCGTTTGCATATCATTACGTTTTGATAGGGAAAACAGTTTTAAAAATGGATATAATAAATCTACCTGGCAATTGTAGCAAATTCATTTGTTCCGGGCCATCTCAATTTTTTTCTCCTCATATGATTCCATTGGGTCACCTCTCTTTGGAGTGGGCACAAATATGGATCTCTTCCAATCAGTTGGCCAGATAGTTGTCTTCCAAATTCCTTGGCAGAGATGAGTCAGTGCCTCTTGTGCCACCTCACTTTCTTGAAAGATTTCAATTTTTAGTCCATCAATTCCTGGTGCCTTGTTCTTTGCCAATTCCTTCAATGCACTTT